GAAACTGATAGTGAAGTTACAAAGTCACAGTTAACAAGTATTGAACCATCTGAAAGTTCATGTGAGATCGAAGAAGCTGATGTACAGCTTACGCAGAGTACTCCAGTATTGCAAGAAGATTCACCCACTTCGCAAACTATGTGTGTGCCTCATAGTGCAGGTTGTGCAGACAAGGACTTGATTCTAAACCTGAATACTTCTGCTTGTAAAGGATCGGATCCTATTCATGGCCCTTATGCTTATGGGACTGACTTTCAGGAAATAGAGGTAAATGAGCATGTAACCAGCAGCTGAAAATACCAAAGTGAATTATATACATGATGCAAATAAACTACAGAGTCTGAAAGTCTTTAAAGTCTGAAAGAACTGAATCTCCAGACTGTGATATGCAAAACAGAAATACATCTGAGAATTGCAGTGAAAAAGTATTTGACCCGGATATAACTTAATGAAAATCATGAGTCTAAAATTCGTTCTGAACTTTAATTTGTATAGTTTAAAATTTTTATATGGTTAATTTGTGTATATAACTTATACATAGTGTAAATATTTGTCTCTTTAGTTATGTTATTTGTTTGTTTTATTACATTTCGTCTGTATCGAGTTTGGCTTTTGACCAAGGATTGTACTGCCCGGGGCATCTAGTCCTTGGGAGGGGACAGTGTTAGGAAATATCCAGCCGTGGTAAGGTAGCTTCCCCGCAAGCAGGTTTAGGGTTGCCAGAAAGTGGCAAGGGAAGGCAGGGTTGCCACATTTGGTGAGAAATCACCCATTTGGCGAAAAAATTGGCGATATGCCACAGACGGATGGAAAACCTTCTGGAACAAATTCGTACTGGGTTAGCCCAGAATGTTCTCGAACACGAGCAAAACGCTATATAAACCCTGCTGGTACGTGGAGAGTTAGCCCGTGCGAAGTCAGTGTCTCGTCTAGCGAGTCAGTGAGAGTCCATCAAGTTGATAGTCAGTCAGTGATATCCGAGTTGGTCATCGAGTGCATCGAGAGAGTCTTTTAGTGTATCATCGAGTTTCATCTTAGAGTGTGTTGAGCTCTAGAAATGACTGAACCAAATCAGGAGCTGTACTCTAATATATCGTCGAGTGCATCATGAGTTGTAGCGTGGAGAGTCTCGAGAGTACATGGTGTTCTGAGAACGACCAACGAGAGTCTGGAGCTGTACTCTGGTGCTTTGCTGTGAAGCTGTCTCCACCATTATAGCCTGATAATCTGAAGGTTGTGTCGCTAATTGTTTCAGTATGTGTATAGTAGTTCTTCGATGATTGTAAGAACGAGGTTTTGGGGCTGTCTTGAATAATACTGGCTAATAAAGTGTGTTTTGATACTTTGTCATGCATCGTTGTTATTTACCCCAAATCCAAGAACTCCATACAACCATAAAGGAAGAGGAAAAAAAGCAACAATACTTATATCAGTGACAACTTTACTTTTGAGAAATGACTGTTAAAGCTTGTTTATTGGTTTTCTTGGAAAATTGGAAGAATATCTCTTACATAAGCTTCAAGCAGTAATAAATTTATTTAAAAAATTTGTTATAAACCCCTATTACCTAAACCTCATCCACCTGGAAACTGTTAAAATCACATAAGTCAGACATCACCACAAGAGATATTTTTTGGTATACATGCTATTCCAATTTGCAACAAAGATACAAACTCAAAACCTCGATACATTAGCTCAACATTCAGAAAACTATAAATGAGAATTGTTGGAAATAATAATAATAATAAAAACTCCAAGCTCTCAGCCAACCATTTCACTAAGAATGCAGGCACCTAACGGGCAGCCACTGTTGCTTCCTATGAAGAGACAGACAGTTTACATCCATGCCTTTGCCAATATTCAAACCTTTGTCCTTCAGTATGGCAGTCAGAGTCACTAACCACTTTCCCATCTGGATGCAAATTCTAAAAATTGTGCCCTGAATTTTTTATTATATATTTTAAAAATTTATATTTGTAAATATTTTTTGTAAGTCCGACTTTGTGTCAAAATAACTATGTTAGAATAGTGCTATAAATCTAATATATATCCTAAGTCGTGCTTTCAAGACATGAAAAATGCTATTTGAATTTCGTCAATTGTCCCAGTAGAACGGGAAATATAGAATTGTCTCCGCCTTTTTTTTTTCCCTCAATGTACATTGTTGAAACATTAACAAATTAGGAGATGAAGCAGAAACTAGTGGGAACATTCATTTTATTAAAACAAACTTGGAAAAGGTGTTAAAAAGAATGATATTTATGTAAATTAGTTAAAATATATGGAAAATTTTCATGTTAAAAAGACACATACACATGTTGTTTGTTGTTGGTACAAAACAAATTTTTTATAGCTTTTCATGTACATTTATACTAATATTGTTTTAGAATCAATATCATAAATTATAACTGCTGTAAAATGTTCTTGTGCTTTCTTAATGGATATTTTTTAGAAGTAGGAAAAAATCGTAATTATAACCATGTAAATCTATTATAACTAACAGTATCTAACTAATAATTTAATTATTTGTAACTAACTGCTCACCCTTAGAAGTTAACTCTACTTGTTAAGGTGAGTTGTTTCCTTTCCTTAATCCCTTTTGTGTATGCAAGATACAACACAAAAGTGTAAAAATTAACATAAAAAATTATTCTGTACAGTTAAATTAATACAAAACAACCTTGACATCTCTGGCACTTAAGTGGCTTATTAGAACTTTATTATGTTAAATACTGTGTATTAGTTAGGTTACAACTCCAACAAATTTACCTAAAGCTATGAGACTAGCTGGGTCAGATAAAGGGTAACTAACTTTCAACACTTGTCAATGTCAGGTGTTCTCATCTTTTTGGATCAACAGCTCTCTAAGCAACCAACTGCGGTGGCAACAGCCAAGCTTCTGTTATGAGTCATGCTGATTAATATTTTACTTTACAGTTTAACTTACTTTCAACTTGCAACTAACTTTCAACACTTGTCGACATCAGGCGTTCATGTCTGTTCTGATCAGCAGCTCTCTGTCTCTAAGCAACAGCAAAGCTTCTGTTATGAGTCATGCTGATTATTATTTCACTTTACAGTTTAATTTATGCCACTTAACATAAAATTTGCTCTGACTACCTCTGGGCTGAGAGAGTATGTGATGAAATGAAGCATAAAAGAAAGAATCAATATTAAGCTAAATGTTAGTAAAATTTAAGCACAAGTCCTCTAATCTTCTTTAAACATGGGACTGTTACAAATGTAAAATATAAATTTTTCAAGAAATTTTATAATTTAATGCTAATAATTACTTGAAAATTTGTGACGTTGATTTTATTCTTGAATTTTTTTTATGATTAAGTTATATATTAGATTATGTTTAATAATAATGTATCCTGTATACAGATTTATTTTATTCGTACAAATTACAAAAGTGGTATTATAAAATAAAAGCAAAATTCAGGTATAGATAACTGCTTTAGTTTATTCAGTTCCTATTTGCTTGATAAGTCCTGAATTTTTTTTCATTGATGATCCTTAAAAGTACTTAATTTCCACATGCAGAAGTGTGTATGAACCCTGAATAACATAGGCTGAAAAGGGGGTTGGTGTGCACTGTGAGCCCCAAAAAATCATGCCTTTTATCTGGTGAAATTGCCATGGTATTATCCACAAAGATTATCTGGAAAAAGGTAAAACCCTCAACAGTAAGATGTACAGTGAGATGCTAGTCTATGTTGACACTGCTGTGAAGGAAAAACGTTGAACTGCGTTCTGGTGCAAAAAGGTAATACTATTCCATCAAGATAATGCAAGATGTGTCTACTACATTGACTGGCTGGACTCTGTACAGACTCAAATGGGATCTTTTGTCACACCTACTATTTTTGCTCCTTTGAACTTCTACCTTTTTTTCGCACCTGCAGCTACATCTTGCTGGTGCTATCTTCCATCATGCATGGGGCATCCAAAATGTGGTTGATCTGTTTTTGGACTTGTGTTTCTTAGCCAAAGACTTTTGCCAAAATTACCAAAGACATTTGCAGAAAATCATAGATTTTGATGGTGATTACTACTCACACTAAAGGTATTGCTTTCATATTTTTTTCCTCTAACTTTATTAAAAACGTTTTTTAGCTGAAAACTTTCATTACAACCAGATATATGTGTCATCTGTGCTATAAAATCAGAAAGGGGATTCATCAGATAAACTGTCACTCGCTGTCAGTTTTCTCCTGTCTAATTCCTATGGATTCCTATCTATTGCAGCCATACTCTTTTGTATGGGAGCATCATCAGGATATTCTCTGAAATATGCTGCAGTGGCCTGTAGGTCATTATGTAATGTGTTCATTCTGAAATTAGAACGTAAAGTATGAGTGATATTTTAAAACAATTATTTCCTCATTATGAATTTGATTAATTGGATTTTAGATTCTTCATGCAGTGATTTGCAGAGGCCTCAGCAGTGCAAACTTTTATTTAATCACAGTTTATATGTGCAAAAATGATGTGAATTGCACTTCATTCCATGGCCAAAAAAAAAAAAAATTTTTTTTTTTTCATTGAAACATGAACGAAGTTTTCACATCTTGTAACATTATAGCCAAAGGCAATGACTTCTTTTTTACACTCAGTAGTATCTTTCTTGCATCAAGATTACAATAGGAAATATATGCAGTTGTCAAGCAATATGAATGATTTATTGGCAGTATATTTCACGATTTGCTTTTATGTTTATTTGTCTGACAAATACAGTAACCTCTTGCGATGCAGAATAGAATTACTGTAAGTTGTGCATAAAACATCTAACTTTTATCTGGCGTGCAATTTGTTTTTCAAGTGTGTTATTTTCTATTGTTATCCATTTTCTTTAGTTACTTATGAACTATATTTGATTTAAATTGGTTTATATATCTGTATTTTTATTTTTCATTATGTTCATTAATTCTATTACATTCTGAATTAAAAATTTACATACCTTTTTTCCCTCTTATTTAAATTTTATTCTTTTATAGTTACTATACTTAGTGTCATCACCCTGTCAGGAATTTATTATATAACCCACTTAGAAGAAACTCCAATTACCAAACGAAAACGTTTCATGGCTTTCAACTCAAAGCAGTTAGAAAAAATAAATCAATTTGAATTACAGCGCGTAAGTATTACATGCCATGTATGATATACAATTGCTAAAAGCTGCTGTGTGAACTATTTCACAGCATTTCAGATATGAATGCATTTCAAATCTTTCATAGCATTTCAGATCTTAGTCACAGCATTTCAGATCTTAATGAATCACAGCATCTCAGATCATAATGAATTTCAGATCTACCAGTTAAAATTTTTCAGTCTGAATGTACCAACTGTATGTCATTTATTACATAAAAGACGTGTGAATGTTAATTATACAAAATAACATAAGCATAAAAACTTTTTTTTTCATTCAAAATAAGTTACTTTTTTTATTTATAAATAGTATTTATGAATATAGCTATTTATAGTAATTTTAAATGTATAATTAATGTTTCATAATAAAAGCTGCAGTTACAAAAATAGATATGTATATTACATATTTTGTAACACAAGAACATGAAGCATATTAATTTTTATATTGCTTTTTATTTTATCCATTATAGATCATGAATTATTGCCTTAGCATTATTTATAACAACAGTTTGTTGAGAAAAGTCAGTGCGCAAGGACAACTGTATATCACATACTATATACAAAATGGATGAAGGTGAAATCTCATCATATATTTTATACATCATATGTGATCTACACATACTTAAGCATTCTTAATCTTTTAAAAATTTTTATGAACAATTATAAAGAATCAAAGAACTTAATCAAAGGTCAGCAAGAAAAAAAAAAAAAAAAAACTCAACATATTGTTTATTTTTTTCAAAATGGTTAGATAGCTAATTATATAAAATTAGTTATGTTATTTACCTTGAAAAATTTGCTTTTTTTTTAAAGTAAAGCAAGTGGATAAGGATTATTTTATGTTAAGCTGGATAAATACTGAACATTTATTACTAAATTCCATCCAAAAAATTAATGGTTGATATACAGGGCTGCTACAATGTGGTACTGGTATTAATATTCACTAAAACTGCAATAGTCACATTTCTATTTTAATAATTAAATAGTGAACATTTATTACTAAATTCCATCAAAAAATTAAAGGTTGATATGCAGGGCTGCTGCAGTGTGGCACTGGTATTAATATTCACTAAAACTGCAATAGTCACGTTTCTGTTTTAATGAACACTTCTACTGAACATCAATAAAACTCACCTTTCTAAAGTTTTGACTGAAAATGCTTAATGGTTTATAGATTTAAATAATGAAAAAAGTGAAAAGTAAAGTTTTCGAATCTCAACTCTTTTTCAAGATTTGTAGGATTTGAAGTTGAGTGGGCCAGCTCTTAATTTATAACCATGCTTGGAAATAACTTATTGCATTTTTCATTAACTGTTTGTTTATTTTGATTAGTCTGTTATTAACTTATTTTATTCTTCTTAATATTTTAGATAATGGAAAGTGTTGGGAACCAAATATTATCTCCCTATCATCCAGATGCAAGGCGTGTTCAAACAGTGGTGAACCGAATTCTAGATGCTAATAAGGATCTAGAAGAAATGAGGAAAAGGAAATGGGGAATAGCTGTGATTGACAGTCCTGTTGAAAATGCATTTGTTTTGCCTGTTAGTATTATCTCTCTCTCTTTTTTAAAAAATTATACCAGCTATTTTTATTAAATTGGAAATCTTTAAAATTATATAAAAAGATGTAGTGATTGTAATAATTATATAAGAGGATCGTAGTGGTTTTGGTTTACATATTGCAAATTAGTAGGAAACTGGCAACCATACAACAAAATATAAACAGGGATAACGTAACATAGGTATTTATGTAAGTTAAGAAATATTCTTGTAAAATTAAATATTGTAGTGCCTGTTTTTTCTCATATATGGCTGCATTATATATATGGCCTGTTTTTCTCACATATGGCTATCTTTAATATATTTTTGAATTGTCTCTTTTGTATGCTTAATTGTAACATAGTAATTGTTAGTATAATGTGCAACCAGAAATAAAAATATGAGTATTATTATTTTTTAAAAAGTTATTTTATATTAAGTAGAAATGTTAGTTTCTGTTACATCTTCTTGAAACTGGCTAAAAATGGTTTTAAGATTTGGAAAGTTAGAAATCGTTCTTTATGTCTGCTTTACCTGTCTGATTATCTTTTTATATCAGTGCTTCAGCCAAGAAATATGTATGTGCAGTTCTGTACCCCCCCCCCCCAAATGGTGTGAAGTTATTTTTTTTTCAAAGGATCTAAATGTATAAAATGAAATTTTATTTTGAATGTTGTTTCTCGCATTTAGCGTACATTTTTCTGTTTAATAAAAAATTCTTTGTGAAAAAAGGATTGTATAACTTTTCATTAATGTTTGTGCAGTTGAAATTCTTTAAATTTTACATAAAGCAAGTTGTGTGAAAAAAGAAAAACTGTTGTTGGTCATTTCATTTCCCATAAAACATTAAATTGCAAAATGCTCAGGGCATTAAAAGCCTTTGTAAACTTGCCTTTTGGTGATAAATTTCAGAGGTAAAAAAAGAATACGAACAAAATGTTAAAATAGTGCAAAAAAGTCTGACGCAATCTCAACCTTCCTTATAATGTCTGAATTAGACAGAGAAAGGTATGTCCAACTCTAACAGTTCCTCTATTAGATAAAACAAATTGGACAAAGAGGGAAGTGATTATCAACCATAGAGCCTGAATTGTAATGAGAACACTTTGTCAAAAATTGTAATCTTATTCATTCAAGCAGCCAATCGGTCATATCCAACTGCTGGTTAGAATGCAAGTAGCATAATGTCTTAAAGACTATGATCAGTGATTAAACTAATCAGTATTGCAAGGAATACCATTGCTTAGGGGTCTGAAGGCTTAGGGAGCCCTTGAACTACATTTACATGTTTAAACTTAAGAAGACAAATTCTATTATATGTATCTATATCTCTTTCTATATACATCTGATCAGATACATCTACCCCCTACTTGCCTGATATCTGTATGATGCAGAAAGGAGGCCTTAGGAAGTGGGGAAAACAGCTGAAATCAGTGTTGCATACACCCAAATTTCAATGTAATGCAAAACAAAAAACCTTTATGCTTTTGTTTTGGTTCAACTCTAGAGGAGAGCGTTCGAGTGATTAGTGATAACCGGGGCCCGACCATTGCTGAGGCTTATTGTGAGAACAAGTTCTGAATTTCTTGAGAACATAAAACAAAAAGCAAAGAACAAAAATGAAAATACAGGAAGTCAGGATTCCTAAGGTTCACTTGAATTCCCTGAACTCCCAGTTTTTGGAAACGTTTTTATATTCCATGGGCACTGTATACTTTTTACCAGTTCTTGTTTTAAAACTCAGTTATACAATTAATTTACTTATATATATCTCATGATAATGGTTCAGTCTGGAATAACATTTTGAAAAAGTTTAAAATCTTCTTCCTCTGTTTCTATTCACGTGTCCTGCTTTCACAGTTTTTGACTTTTTTTTTTTTTTTTTTTTTTTTTCAGTTGTCAGGCTTGAATAGTTTATAACTCATGCACATTAATTCAATACAGTTGAGTCCCGCAAACTCGACTTCTGATATCTCAACATTCCTTATGACAACATTTTAGGAACATTTTAAAGATATCTATAAAAACCAAACAGAGCAAATATTACTTACAGTACATATAGTCATTATTTATGTGTATATCTTTCCTGTTCTGTTCGAAGATTTTAGAGTTCTTTTTCTGTAATTTTTGCCATTTTTGCACTATGTCATTAATTCTTGGAACTGCTTAACAAATTTTAAGATATGTTGTAATACTTGGCAATGCTGTTTCCTTCTTTCAAAGATACAAAAAAAAAAAAAAAAAAAAAAAAAAATCAGGTAGCAGCTGGCCACTGGCTCACATTCCTTCATATTGTTGCGAAATGTTAGAAGACTTATCAGAAGTTTTGTGACTGCATCTTGCTGCAAACTAAAATCCAGTTCATTGCTGGTATCGTTCTTCATTTCACATCCAGTTATATAAGTGTTAACATATTTTGGGGAACTTTTGATATTCTGTAAAGTGAAAATGTCATTCGAAAAGAAAAGAAAACAAACTAGCATGACAGTGTAAATAAAACTAGATACCTTAAAGAGACTAGACAAAGGAGAAAGTGTAAACAAAATTACTATGAATTTAGGTGTTGGATGGACTTCTTTTATAGGGTGGAAAAAGAAGAGGTCTGAAATCGAATCTTGGTGTGTGAAAAGAGCATGTATGGATAGTTTAAAGAAAAGAAAAAGTATGAAAGGTGGTAAATACAGAAAAATGAGCTAGGTGCTTTATTTGTGGTTCAGGCAGCAAAGGGAACAAGCATTTCAGGACCAATTTTACAAGGGAAAGCTCTAAAATTTTATGAGCGAATTTCAAGAAGAGCCTGGATTCATTGCTAGTGCTGGTTGGCTTGACAGATGGAGAAAGCAGTATGGCATCACGTAGTTAAACGTTTGTGGGGAAAAACTAGTTGCTAACTTAAAAAATGCTGCAATATTCAAGGATAATATCCTTAAACTAATTGAAAAGGAGGGTATATCTGGAGATCAAAATAATTGTAATGAGACCAGTGTGAATTTTCGAACGGTACCTTTGAAAAGGCAGGCATCCAGTGAAGAAAATTGGAAGTGACCTGGCTTCAAAAACAAGGAGAAAATCACAATCTTGGCATGCAGCAATGCAATAGGCAGCCATAAGCTCAAACTAGTACTCATAAGCAAATCAAAAAAATCTCCGGGCACTTAAAAACGTAAAAAAGTACATTAATGGAACCGAAACCAGCTATTATCCTCCTGTTTGGTGCCAGATTTAACCAAATGCATGGATGAATGGAGCAATATTTAATTATTAGTTTTATCGGCAGTTCGTTCCTTCAGTGGAAAAGATTTTAAAATAAAAAAATCTACCAAGGAAGACGATTCTCATTCTAAGACAATGCCTCATCCCATCCTGATGCAGGACAGTTGCAAGATGAAGATATAAGAGCCATGTTTCTTCCTCCTAATGTAACTTCAGTGTATCAGCCAATGAGCCAGGCCATTTTGGAGACATTGAAGAAAACATACAGCCATAAACTTCTTTCATCTCTTGTCCTAGCCATGGAGGGCGGGTGTGATATGATCGAGAAACTGAAGAAAATAGATGTATTCGATGTTGTTGAATGGATAGCTCATTCTCAGAATGAAATCGAGCAGATAAGCCTTGTTTGTTCCTGGAGAAAATTGCTGGACCATTTAGGACATGAATTTCATGAAAATAGAAAAGAGGCAGAAAATTTTGAAATAGTTGTCTTTAGAAAATTCCAGGCTGTGAAGAAGTTACTGATGGTGATGTTGAAAAATGGATGGGACAAGATGAAAGTTGTGAAATTTTAGGACATGTGGAAATAGTTGCACTGGTGAAAGACAATGTGGATAAAAAAGAAGATGAATCAGAAAATGAACAGATTGAAGACAGGAGAAAAGCTAAAATGATGTCCCATAATGAAAGACTGCAGGCCGCTGAAGGAATGCTCCATTACATGGAGGAGCAAGGTGCATCTGGTATGGACATTTTGTTCCTCCGCCGCCTACGGGATGAAGTTGCACGACGATGGAATGAGTGTGAGAGACAATTTACCATCGCACAATATCTATCTGCCAAGAACTAATAATATTTTTTTTTCATTTTTGTATGTAAGTTTTTTTACTCAATTATCTTAGGTTATTTTTTCTTTTTATGACTCTGTTGTACTAGAACTTGACATACAAAAATTAACATTAATTTAATTGTAAGCTGTTATTTTCCATGTCCAATATTGTGCTACAAATGTGTAGAGTAATGTATATTTAAATATTAGAAGTTCTGAAAAACCCACCCCTTATTCCAAAAAACTTGACAGTCTGTCAGTCCACATTATGTTGAGTTTGCAGGACTCTACTGTACTAGTTTCTGTGTATGTAATTTTAGGGAAAAATATCTAAGCTTCTTTGCTTAATTATGTTTTAAACTGATAATGAAGTCTTATTTGATATGTTTCATAAGGTATCGATGATTTAGGTATTGAATCAATTTATCAATGTAAACATTGATTAAATAATTAACTTGTTGCAATCGTTTGCAAGGTTGAGACCTTGCAAAACAAAGATGTGCATTTGAGTATTTGCCATCAAAGTCTGAGCTCGAGTTTACACTCGGAGTGGAATATGACCCTATGATCTATGGTGATTATTGTTCATCTGGATGAGTACTATCACCCATCTTAATTTGTAAAAACAATTTAGAATCACCCTGTATATACATATATATATGTATGTATATATATGTATATATATATAATGTTGTATGATCTTAAATCCATTTAGTGCGAATACAAGTTATTACTACTTGCGCAATTGCTGCAAAGTTAGTTAATAATAATTTATTTATTAAACAGTATTCATTAATTGATTATATTATCTCCTAAGTTTAATTAAAGTAGAATGCTTTTATTCGTATGTGCATATAATATGCATATATCTGTTTGCATATACGCGCACCTCATTTGCATATGTATATACCATATGCAAAATTCTACATAAGTAACCTAACCACACTGATATGTATATACC